TGAACTTCTGTACAGAAAATAACATCATCATTGATGTTTTCCCCTCAGTCTGATTTAGTGCCTGGTCTTGTCCACTCTGTTCTATTGAGTCATTGTGGGCATTGTAGAGGGAAACAGAAGACATGTATGTGTTCCTCAGAGTCTTATCTTTCAGTGATGGGGTCATAATATGTTGTGGCTTAAGCCGTTACAAAGATAGAGACACATTTGTAGGAAGAAAACAGAAACCGCTTTGTTTATTACGACCGCATCTAGCTGCTACCAGAGGTTACTGACATAACGGTTAGGTTCAATGAACCAAGCACAAAATGTTTTTGTCTGGGTTTATCTCGCGACCCCATTTTAAAATCAGGCGACCCCACATGGGGTTGCGACTCCAATTTGGGAAACACTGGAGTAGGCTAAAACAGATTTGTGATGCCAGTCCATTCAGGCAGAGTGGAGTTGCTTAGAAACTTCAGCTGCAGTGCTGAATAAAGGACTTTTCTCTGTGCTGAATAGCATACCAACTCAAACATGTTGAGCTCTGCAGTATTTCTCTCCCTCTGTCTACGCACATACCCACACACACACACACACACACACACACACACACACACACACACACACACACACACACACACACATGGGCACACACACTCGTAACTAGGTTATACACACACTTCTTCTGAGAAAACACCCCTAGAAGTGTGTGTGTATACTCACAAACATCTGCAACACCAGGCAAACATCACAACACAGCAAGCAAGATGGAGAGGACCATCATCTCTGTACCAAACTAACACAAATCCAAGTCATCTGAGAAATGAAAGACACAGAATTTTGCCCATCCTAAAACGAATGTTTAATTGAATTAGCTACATTACTTTAACTGAATACAAATTAGGATACTTCAAAGTAGTTCAAGATTATTTTTAGGAACCGTTATAACTAAATATTGATTTAATAACCATAAAGAATCCGGATGTTTTAGTGACGTAATTGAATTACTCAAAGTTAGTTCCATACCATATGTACTGTAGTGTAGTTTCCACATTATTTGTTTGTTAGTAGATCAAATGTGATTCTCCATCCAGTGTCCTCTCTGAAACATCTACAATAGTCAGACTGTATTTGACCTCTTACATCAGTGTTCATGATACACAGACACACCTACAACACCTTTATCTCTCTCTTTCTCTCTCTCCCTCTTTCTCTCTCAGTAAAAACCGATTGACCTCCCTTTCATTTCCATCTCTGAATAACTCCTATCTACCTCTAATCTTGCCCTGCGCTATATACAGTACATTGTACAGTACAATTCAGTTCCCTGGAGGTTGCATGTAGTAATGGATTTATTTTACTTTTGCTTTTCTTTTGGTTTGGGCCTGCTGTTCATTGTCACCCGCTGTGTTGCGTGGTAACATTTAAACAACCCAGCCTCCGCTCCTTCAGTTCGGATAGGTCCAACACCCTCAACCGCAGCTCCTACGCACGGGACAGCATGATGATCGAGGAGATCCTCGCCCCGACCAAGGACACAGTACGTCCTCCTAACATCCTCACACCACCTTTTCCTTTACCCCTTTCTTGTCTCTATCTCCTCTTTCTGTGTCACTCTCTTCCTCCTCTCTTCTCCTTTCTAGGTTTTTGTCAAGGGCATTGTGTGACACTATTATTTTAAAAAATGTGAACTCTGAGATGGGGTTAGTGATGGATTTAGCCTCCCCCTGGATCGTGGTTACATTTTATTTCCAAGTGCCTATTTTAGGCTTTTTCGTTAGTTTAGTTTATGTTTGGCACTTACAGTGCTGAGGCTGTGTAGGACAATTAATGTAAGAGCTTATTCAAAATTCCCTGTGGCCTCTTTAAGGTTTCCAGCTGCCTTGGGAAATCCCCACTGCAGTGTTTGTCCTAAAACATTTTTTGGTGATCACAATGCAGGATCTAAAACAGGAACTTTAACCTGATGCACTGTAAACAATATTTGCAACTTCACTGACATCATGTTCGACAAACACATTTGGGTCAAAGAGGAGCCTTGTATTAGAATGCATGTAAAATCTTGTTTTCTCACATTGTAAAAAAAGAGTTTCCTCCAAATTGGTTGTTAAAACTGATTAAACAGATGTGTCTTGTGCTTTTTCCACTAAAGCTTCAGAGTGTCTGTAAAGACCTTTCCTACTTGGTTGACCCTCTCAATAAGGTATATGATGTCAATAGATGGTTTCCTCGCTCTGCTCACTCTCCATGACCATCTCTCTGGCTCCATTCGTATTTGTTTGTTTGAGCTCTGAAATTCTCATTCCGTTCATTGGTCCTCATCTTAGTGAGGTAAATAGTTATTTATTTCCCCATGTGACGTCTGGTCACTGTAAATTCCCATGATTCATTTTTATACAAACAAATTATTGTTTCAGTTGGACGTTTACCACTTCTTGTGGTTCAAATTGTTAATCATATTCAGCATGTTTCTTAGAAGTGATATTGAATGTTTTAGATGACAAAAACATGTTTCTGTGAGAGACTTTATGAGTCCTGTTAGATCACTTGTCTGTAGGGGTAAGGGGTCATATTCTCTTATTGTGTGTTAGGAATGCAGAAGGTCATTAAACGTGTCACCTCTTATGTCTGTCTGTAGATCAGTGAGGGTCACCGTCAGATTAGGTCAGAAACCATTAAGTCTCCTTCATAACTCAACTGTTGACCCTCCTCCTGCATTTGCTCTTCCACAGCACCTGGCTATAACCCGAGACTACGATGCAGAGTGTCTGAGGCGCTACAGCTGGACCCCAGACACCATGGACCACAGCAACACTGTGTCTAGCCCCATTCACTCAGGGTAAGAACCAGCCATCTCCCAACCAGTCTGACACCAAGCCACAGCTAGCTCTAGCCATGCCAGACAGGGCCTACTGCTAATCCAAACACAGGAGAATGTTACTCTACATACTCTATTTGATCAGCCCAACAAAGACCCAGCTAGCAGTTGTCTGCAGTGAAATACTGTTATGAGGTTTTCCTTTCTGCAGTCTCTTGTGCAATTTCATTTTGCTGAGCCGCAGTGATGAATAGTTTGAGGGAAGTCACCCTCACGTATAGTACGTAATGGACTTGCACTGTAGACTACATGATTTAGTCTTATTGGAAATGCTCTTGACAGTCCAATGTCCTGGGCCCAGTACAGATGGAAGATATTTTGTGTTTTGTCAGGTCTCGTGTACTGGGGTTTCTGCCCCTTTCAATGCCCTACATTTTTCCAGTTCTCCTGTATTTCAGTCCCTCTCTTTTATTTCTGTACCATCTTTTTATGCTTTTTTTGCCTTATATGGCGAAATGCATCAGACCCTAAAAAACTAAATTGATTGTGCTGTATTACTAAATCTAGTTTTTTGCCTCCTGCATTGTTTTGGTCTTTATTTTGCAGCTTGTCCTCCCCGCTCCCTCAGTATGACTCCAGGTGATGATTGTGTCTGGTGATGTCACCATGATGTCACAGTGATGTCACAGTTTCCACTACTTCTTCTTTCCTCTTTTGTTCCTGTGCTTGTGTCATCTGTGTGGTCTGGTCTCTCATCTACACTGTGTAGCTGTAGTACTAGTGATGTGTTTAGGATTTTTTCACTAAGGTGCCATCTCACAGTGCATTTATGGATAAAGCCCCTAAAAAAATATATGAGCAGGTCTGCACAGTGCACACACAGACGATGCCATGCTTAGGCAAACATACTATGGCTGCGTTTACAAAGGCAGCCCAATTCTGATATTTTTGACCAATCAGATCAGCTCTGACAAATATATGATGTGAAAAGATCTGATGTGATTGTTCAAAAGACAAATTAGTGGAAAAAAGATCAGAATTCGTCTGCCTGTGTAAACGCATCCTATGTGAACAGTCAAATACACCACTTTACTGTACAGAACATTGGGTATGGTTTTAGGTCAGACATAGTGCGGCAGGTAGCTTAGTGGGTAAGAGCGTTGTGCCAGTAACCGAAAGGTCGCTGGTTCTAATCCCCGAGCCGACTAGGTGAAAAATCTGTCAATGTGCCCTTGAGCAAGGCACTTAACCCTAATTGCTCCTGTAAGTCGCTCTGGATAAGAGCATCTGCTAAATGACTAAACATTTAAATGTAATGGTTCCTGTAACAACTCAGCCATCTTAGATCAGCATGTCATGCTGAATGAAAATGTAGGGTATCTTTATTAGGTAAGGTTTTATGGCTTTAGGTAGATACCGATATGACATAGATGCAAAAAGTAAACCATTTCCACAACAACTAAGAGCGTTGAAGTGCGAGGCTGAACATCTCCGCTGTTTTGTTGCCCTGGCTACCACGCTGTGAACAGCGTGAAGCGAACCCGTGCACATGCGCAGATACTGTGTGTGACTGTGTGAGAGCAAAGTCTGGCATCTCGCTCAACTCAATATCTGCGGCAACGTCATTTCGCTGAGTCTACCTTTAACAGCTGGCATACTATATGAGGCATTTCAATTTAAACATTCCCTTGTTCGTTCTACTAATAGCTTAATACTACTGGTAATAGTTTCCACAATTAATGGGATGCCCAAACTGCACTTATTTAGTAGAAGCTAACACATCCTTTCATTTGTGATTTAATTGAGTTTCTACTCGGGGTGAAACATTTGTGAAGGTGTTTAATATAGATCACTGATCACTGCTTCAGTGTAATTGATCTTGGCAGGAAACTCACCTTTTCCCTATTACATCACCTCCGAGTTCTTTACAGAGTCGGTGTCTTGAGGTTACATTGTTAAGAGTCAGAGGTGAGACCTGCCAAGTTTGAGAACTCGAAGCACCATCTCCTCTCTCTCTGTCTATCTCTCTCTCTCTTTCTCTAGTATTTTCTTTCCACTCTCTCTCTCTTTTCGGAGTGTTTGGGTGTACGGTGGTCACAGCATGGGATTCGTCCATCTCAAGTGTCAGTGGTTATGGCCTCTCTCTCTCTCTTCCCGTGTCACCCTTTCTGGTCTAATATTTGTATTTCTGCGCCGGCAGATTCCTGGTTAGCTTCATGGTGGATGCTCGTGGGGGGTCCATGAGAGGAAGCCGAAGCAACGGCATGCGTATCATCATCCCGCCCCGGAAGTGCACGGCTCCCACCCGCATCACCTGCCGCCTGGCCAAGAGGCACAAGCTAGCCTACCCCCCGCCCATGGTGGAGGGAGAGGGCCTGGTCAGCCGGCTGGTGGAGGTCGGCCCCGCAGGAGCCCAGTTTCTGGGGTAGGTTTTCTCTTATCTCTATACCAGTGTTTATTAATCCTTGTCCTGGGGGGTGCACATTTTAGTTTTTGCCTTAACACTACATAGCTGATTCAAATTATCAAAGCTTGATGATGAGTTGATCATTTGAATCAACTGTGTAGTGCTAGGTCCCCAGGATCAAAAACATTGCTCTATACTATTTTTGCTATTTGAATGTGAAGATCCACCTTTTTGGCTCTAAGGGGGCTCTGAACTATCTCTGGGTGCTCTGTTCCATTCTAGCCCTGTGATCGTGGAGATTCCTCATTTTGGCTCCATGAGGGGGAAGGAGAGGGAGCTGATCGTACTCAGGAGCGACAACGGTGACACATGGAAGGAACACCAGTACGACTGCCATCCAAGTGACATCACGGACATTCTGAACGGGATGGACGAAGGTATGTTACACACAGCATGACATCTGCATTGACACCTGTAAATAGATTTGCTTGTTGCATGTGTTCTATGTTCTGTGTTTTGGATAGTTTTTATTACAGTTTTTATTTTTTATTTTTTATTGCACCTCGGGTGTGAGAAAAGTGCTTTACAAATTAAATGAATTATTAATATTATTATTATTATTATTATTGTTATTATTTCAGGTCAACATTGCTAATGTAATTGAATACCCTCTCTGACACATCCAATCATTCCTTCGTCATTCAGACATACATAACATATTGAATATCCATCATCCATCTATATTTGTTAATGTGTTATCCAAAAGAACTGGACAGCAATGCTGAGCTGGAGAAGAAGCGGATCTGTCGGATCATCACCAGGGACTTCCCCCAGTACTTTGCGGTGGTGTCCAGGATCAAGCAGGAGAGTAACCACATGGGTCCAGAGGGCGGGACTCTGTCCAGCCAGACAGTGCCCATGGTCCAGGCCTCGTTCCCACAGGGAGCGCTCACCAAGAAGATACGTGTTGGACTGCAGGTCTGAAAGCCAAATCAATCAGTTAGCTGTATTGTTTAGAAACTCCATTAGTCTTTGTTTTGTGTTAAGCTTTAAGGTTTTGAGTCAAATTGTCCAACTTTTGAGCTGAGAGCATGATTTTGATTGATGATGAGTTGGCTACCTTCATCCTATTGAGATTTATTTTAACATGACTTTGTAAAGGATTATGGCTTTTGTCATGTATTATGCTAATTTGAACAAATGAGAGAACATTGATTCATCTCTTTCATCCCCCCCCCCCCTCCCTGCAGGCTCAGCCCGTCCCAGACGACATGGTTAGGAATCTCCTCGGCAACAGGGCCACCTTCAGCCCTATCGTTACTGTGGAGCCCAGGAGGAGGAAGTTCCACAAGCCCATTACCATGACGATCCCTGTCCCGCCCCGATCTGCAGACGGCCACCCCAGTGGACATAGGGGGGACTCCACCCCCTGCCTGCGCCTCCTCTGCAGCATCACAGGCAAGTCCATCAGGATGTTCTGAACAACCTTTGTAGCTGAGAACATACCTCTATTGAAATTGGTTCAGACCGTCAATGATAACAAGGTTCACTCCTACTTGGAGACAGGATGGAAGGACAGGGTTTGCAGTAGGTGGAAGAGAGGTTAACCAGGGATGGGGATTTGTCTTTTCTCGTGGTTTTCCATCCAGGTGGAACATCTCCTGCCCAGTGGGAGGACATCACAGGGACCACTCCCCTGTCCTTTGTCACAGACTGTGTTTCCTTCACGACAAATGTGTCAGCCAGGTAAGGCCATGTTTTCTCATATGCTCACAACCAGTTAACTGCAACATTCTCTCAACGCGCCATGGCAAAAGGAAATTAACTCTAAAAACAAAATGTTTTCTCTGCTGTCAAGGTGGGGGGGGGGATTCGATTAGCTGTTAGCGTCCGTTGGTTGATCAACAGTGTGATGAGCTAATGCTTCGGATTTTGGAGATCATTATAGCCAAATGGACGTTCTTTAAATCCCCGCTATGTAAACAAAGCTGATTTCCAAACAACAATTTTTGTTTGTTTTGTTTAGCTAATAATATGAATACATTATTTCAATCTACTTTTGAATACCTTGTTAACATTTCAACAAGATGCAATTCGAAATAGCAAATTGTGATGAGTGTGATAGAAGGAGTCAGGCGCAGGAGGGTAATCACCGAATGCAGAGTTTATTCCGTCGTACACAAATAGCGCTGGATAGCGACAAACGAAACAGGCACAGGGGAAAATCTACCCTGGCAATACAAGGTAATGGTAGCTCCAACAATAACAGGCACAGGGGAAACATCTACCCCGGCAATAACAATGTACGAGTAGCTCCACCGAGCTACACTACTCTCACGAATTAACAATCACCCACAAGGACAAGTGGGGCAGAGGGAACACCTATACACGGACTAATAAGGGGATAAGAACCAGGTGTGTGTGATTGACAAGACAAGACAAATGGAATGATGATATATGGTGCGGCAGTGGCTAGTAAGCCGGTGACGACGAACGCCGAAGCCTTCCCGAACAAGGAGGGGAGGCAGCCTCGGCGGAAGTCGTGACACAAAGAAAACGTGTCAACTGCACATTAAGCTACCTTTCAGAGTGTGAAGTGAGCTACTATGCAGCTATTATTATTTAATTTGTGTGAAAATCAGTTCAATTCATACACTGGCTCATCTGGCTGGCATGTCTTTATTTAGAGCTTCACTCCCCTTGTCTAGTCTTTCACTAAAGTATGCTATTAGTCCATACTCTATTTTTTTCTGATCTCCCTTCCTCCACCACATGGCATAGGCTTAGCTCAGTACTACAGTAGTACACTTGTGGTTGAATATAATGCAGGACACAACAGACATTTGAATAATGTTGAACTCACAAATAACAAAAAGGGATTTACAACAATTAATTAATTAAATGAACACCCTGAGAAACCCAACTTGGCAATATTTAAGATTGAAATATGAAAACGTTGCTCTTTTTGTGGAACAAGTGTGTCATGAACTTGTTCATTTTATTTAATATACCCACATGGAAGTTATAGACTGAAATACATGAGTATAGGCTAACATCAACACATAAACAATAAAATACAATTTAGTTGAGAAAACAGAAGTATGAATGACAAGTAAAGTACATAATATGAGAGAGGGGGATCCTCAAAGAGTCTTGGCAGAAGTAGGGTATGGGTGATTTGTTTTGTATCTCTCAGTTCTAGCGTGTGGGATAAAGAGGAAGTGGGTGCTACGGGTGGTTCTGCCCGTCACTTTCCCTCAACAGGCAGCCAGTCTCAGAAGGGGGACTTGAAGAGGGAGACTGAGTGTTTGCAGTGCTAGTGTATGTAGTGTATCTGTGTATCTCACTGTGCCCAGGATGATATGGCAAGCACAGTTTCTTAGCAGATTAGATGACAATAACAGTAGCTGTAGATCAGTTGTCACCAACTGGTCGATCTCCAAGGCATTCTTGGTCAATCGCGATCGTCTGGTCGATCTCCAAGGCATTCCTGGTCAATCGCGAGCGACTGGTCGATCTCCAAGGCATTCCTGGTCGATCGCGATCGTCTGGTCGATCTCCAAGGCATTCCTGGTCGATCGCGATCGTCTGGTCGATCTCCATGGCATTCCTGGTCGATCGCGATCGTCTGGTCGATCTCCAAGGCATTCCTGGTCGATCGCGACCGACTGGTCGATGTCCAAGGCATTCCTGGTCGATCGCGATCGACTGGTCGATCTCCAAGGCATTCCTGGTCGATCGCGATCGACTGGTCGATCTCCAAGGCATTCCTGGTCGATTTTTTTTTTTTCGCTCTGTTGGCGGTAGGTGCAAATACAGCAAAGAGCTGGATGTTTTTATGAGTAAGTTCATGTTTAAGTTGTTATTCAGCTCTGTCAACACTTTTATAAGCCATAAATGTGCGTTCTCCCTAATTGTACTCACGCTACTACCAGCACTGCAGCTGCAATGAATGAGTATAGCAAAGTGTTCTGATAAGCTTGTTATTATTAGCGGCTTGTGTCTTTTTTAATATCGAGGAATATTTCACTTTCTCTGGTCATAGGAGTAACAACGTGAATTGGTGCATGAGGCAGAAATAATGCAGTGCGACTTGAGTTTCGCCATCAGCTGGAAGACTGTCCCCTCTTTTCTCAGCGGAGGGAGGGAGAGTGGCGGGACGGTGAGTCAGGTGAGATGCAACCTCACCGCTGCTCCCTCCCTCCCCTCAGACTGACCATGAGATGCAGGCCATCAGTCCAGTAAAACAAATAGCTAATTATTAAGCTGTGCATGACAAGTAATATAGCAAATGATCTATTAGCAGTGTGATCATATACCTAAAATTGTAAAATATCATTTCAAAATGGTCTGAGAAGAACAATATTGGCAGGGGCAATTCAAGCATAGCCAATATGTATTAATAATGTATTGGGCTTTTAGACTGCTGCACAAACTTCATTGCTACAGAACTGTTTTTTAATTGGTTAATGTTGCATAGGCTTACGCTTTTTAAGTCATGTTTAATACAAATCTGAGCGGTAGATCTCGGCTTGCATTTTGACTCACAAAGTGATCTTGACTCAGAAAAGGTTGGTGACCACTGCTGTAGATAATGTAATGAAAAGTGGGATCTTGGAGGGTGGGTGGTCATGGAGGACATCAGGTGGATCAAGGTCTGGGGAAGGGATACGGTAGGCTGCTCGGAGCATGGCAGAACCCCTAGATCCTGGAGAATAGGAGCAGAGGACAAGGGGAAAGGGGAGGAGACAGAGGAGTAGAAGGATGCAGAAAGAAAACACACAGGTTACAGGTAGGTCAGGGGTGCGTTCAGCAGGACACAATGTTTTGGAACATTCAGATAGAAATATGTTATGTAGAACAAACATGCTTCTCTGACATGTCGAACATGCAGTTCTTGGAGGCAGTAGTACACTCACACACTCAGGGCTTCAGTAGCTCCATCTTACCCTCTGATAGTCAAGGTAGAAGTGTCACCATATTGCTTACACCTATTCAACCTGCTCAGGTATACACAAGTATGTAGGGTGTAAGGGCTAGGGATTGATTTGGGATTCAGGGCTCTTTCTCAATTTGTCTTCCTCCCGTCCTCTCTCTTCGCCTCCTTTTCAAAACGGATTGGAGGACAATATCCGAGATTCCTCGTCTCAAACATTCTCCTCCAATGCATTCTGAGGAGGCGAGAAGAGAGGATGCGAGGAAGAACATTTTTAAAAGAGCCACATAATCACATAATTACTGACTGCTGTCACATAACTATCATGCTGCAGGAGAATGAGGAAAAACTCCTGGGCACATGCACAGATGCTTACCATTAACAAGTGCAGCCATTTGCTTTGCCCTCACTTTGCAATATCTCACACTACTGCTTGTGGTCATGTCATATCACTGAGTCTGCATTTAAGTATATGCACTATGTACTGTACATAAACACATGCATTCACTCACTAATCAGGAGATGACTGCATTACTCTTGATATTGCATGTTACAAAATTTTACCTCAGATTTAAATTCGATCAACATAAGAGCATGAATAAATGTGTAGACAAAAAGGAAGGGAAGTGCTGCTGGAATACAATAGCAGAACTTTGTAGGTAGAAGGTCGCCTTTGGTAAGATAGTTAAATGGTCGTCAAAAAACAGAGGACCAAGGATGATAAGGGCCTATGGAGAATATTATTTTGTGGAATTCCACCTTTTTTTATGCTTTATTTAGACAGATTATAAACAGGAGGAGACAGAGAAGGAGTGAAAGTGGGACAGGTGGAAGCCGGAATTGAACCCCCGACTTCTGGGACAGTATGATGGTACATTTCATTGGAATTTTACACACTCAACCACACAGCTACAATGTAAAAAAAAAAAATGATTCTGGGGTAAAAAATAATAATAATACATATAACATATACTTAATAAAAATGAATGCAAGCCGTTTTAATGATTTGTTAATTTCATTTTACAAGAAAAAAAAAAGAATAAATCCAACTTAATATGTTGCTCAAAATGTAAGTATCTTGTATGAGGATAACCAAAGATAGAGAAAATTGAGTGATTGAACTCATTGGAAGTTTGCACTTCCTATCTTGCCAAATTTTTTGAGGATTGTGGGTAATTCATTTTTCATTTTACTTTATGATTATTTTACACAATGTTGTATGCATGTTTTTTAAAAGAAAAGTGTATTTCTATATTAGTATTAAGCAGCTTGCCGTGTAATGGATCATGATGAATGGATATCAAAACCGTCAGACAGAATGACGTTCAATGATGAGACGACCCATTCCCACAAATCCAACTTTTAATGGTAGAGGCAAATACAGTATCCTGCCATGCTTGCTGTAAAACCTCTGCTAGTGGATTTAGCACCGTGCTCAACAATGCCTGCCAAAATGGGTTAAACTGGCAAATGATCAGATACATAAATGAATGTTAAATATAAAAATACTCCAGAACAAGTGACCTAATTCTGCACTAGACAAGCTTCTAAACACCATAATAGTGTTGAGAAATTTTAGAGAGAGGAAATGACACCAAAAGAGAAGGTATCTAATTCTGCACTAGAGGCCTTCACGGGTACCCGTCCCGAAATGGACCTGGGGCTTTCCCATGCGGACCCAATATGCATAAATACACATTTTTAATATAGAGACCCGTTCCGAACGTACCCGAGGACAACTGTAAGTCGCTTTGGATAAAAGCGTCTGCTAAATTGCATATTATATTATTATTATTATTATAACTAG